GACATAAAAAATACTAAACAGACTGGCAAAACTGTAGTGGCAAGTCATGGTATTTAGAAAAGTATTTTAGTGAAAAAATGCATGGAAAAACGAGGTTTTTTCCATATTAGGTTTTTTGTTTGTTTATTTTAATAGGCAAGAAGTTTTACCAGGAAGGAGAACATCAAAACAAGCCAGCCTTTCAGAATTACAGTATTTTCCAATGATCAGTGTGAGTAGATAACTGCACTGATATTTAATGGGCAGATGTTACAAACTCACATTTTAACAGTAATGTGCAACAAATCAATTTTTTTCTATCCTTAAAAATGTATGGCAAATAACTGTAATTGCATTGCTAGTAAAGGACTGTTCTTATTTCCCTGACCAAAAAATAAACCATAAACAAGCAATCTGATACAACATTATGAAAGCTTATGGCTAAAGCAAAGCAAAGGATTAGAGATCAAGTTTCTTAAATTGTATTTTTGCCTGGGCTGACATAGTTTATGAACTGTGGCAACGCTTTCAAGCTTCTCTGAGCTGCAGCTTTCTAAAGAAAATGTGTCTTTCACGGGTGTTTAGAAAAGCCAATTACCAAAGAGGGAGAAAAATACTGGCATGCAAAATGGAACTGAAATTTGATAGATGTTCTTACATTAGAAACAGCCAGGAGTCAATCATGCCAAAGCTCTTTATTCTGTGGCCTCAGCAGCAGAACCTTCAGCGCCTCTTTAAGCCTGTCTGACAGTGTTTTGGACTGTGCATAATCCATTATGGCATATATTATCCTTGTCCCAGGGAAATTTTGCAGAGACAACCTCCTCCGGCATAAGAGAACAATACACCTACGTGAAAGCTAAGATATTTGTATTGTTCTTCTCTATAAGGGTTTTCACATTCTTTTCAATCAGTCTTTTCAATAATTTTAAAGATTAACTTCCACGTTAAAGGAAAAAATGCACTAACGATGCCAGAGCTAATAAAATTATTTGGATTAAAAAATTTTCTGAAACAACCATTTGTTCTTCAGATATTTATATCCGTGTTACATAATTGTATCAATAATTGCTGTATAGCTACTGAATATGAATTAATAACAAAAATATGTATTTTTATCGTATACACCATTGTATGTACAGAAACAATTAGATTTTTCTTTACTATTCATGTACCAAACTTAAAAAGAGAATGTATTTGAAATATTCTTACATCTGTCCTCTGAAAAACTGGGGAACAGTCAATCCTACCCACAGCCTGGGACTTGAGAACTCACCAGAGCAGGCATTGTTATTCACCTCGATGCCATCACACCTCTTGTGGGCTCTCCTGTCATTTTGAGCTTTGAACATTTTCTTTCTATAACTCCTCAAGAATTAATAAGATGCATCAAGAAATGCGACTGCTTTGCAAACTCCCCAGTCGCTCCCCACGTGCTCACAAAACTGCCATAAAATGCTGCAAGATTGATTTTCCACAAACAGTTGCCTCACTCTGGCTGCTTATATTCCACAAATATAACTGACTGTGCAAAGCACAGTGCAATGGAGAAAGAGGCCCATTAGTGTTTTTCACTCGCTGGTCACTTATGTACATTTTAGGTATAACTCTTCCTTGCTAAAGAAGGAATCTTTATAACCAAATCCATAATAAAATATTGTTATTTTCTGTTATCCTGTAGTTTGGGTACTGAAGCTCATCTCATACCATTTGTTCATGATATTTCTGCTATCCCATTAACTTTGCAAGCAGCCTGTTGAGAAGCATTGCCCGGTTCTGCAACACGGCGGTTAAACATCCCCATTAGTGTGGAAAACACTTGTTTCTGCTATAGCTGCTTTTATCAGGTCTATAAAGAGACCGCAATAAAGAAATGTAGGAATTTTCTTTAAGAGCAAACAACAAAAATTATCATCACAAAGAAAATGTAAGGTTATACAAGGGTGCTTATCTCATCTGCCTTTCCACAATGCTGCTCCTAATAAACTGTTTCTACCATATTCTTCAGATGCTTTACATTTTGCATGAATATTATTTTAACAACATTTTCCAGAATTAATAAGGTGCTGTTCTGAATATTCTAAAATCAATATTGACTGTTTTAAATTGTTACAGTATTTCTGGGACCAGAAAAAAATCATAAAGAGAAGATCCATGTTATTTTCCTGGTGTGCCTATGTGTCTCAGTTAGGAGTGTGGGCTTCTCTCCCAGTGCCAAGGAGGAGGTGGTGAATGGTTGGACGCAATGATCTTAAAGGTCTTTTCCAACCTAATGGTTCTATGATAGAGTGCACTTCGAAGTGGAATTCAGCTGCTGTGAACCCTCTGGTGGAGCCATGTCCAGCCCATACTGAGGCAGGAGAGGCTTCTATGAGGTTTCCATCGTTAGGCAGCCTGAATCACCCCTTCACTACAAGGCCTGACGGAACAGCCCCCCAGCAGAACTGGGATGGCAAGTCTATGGCACAGCCTATGGAACCTCTGTTTTCCATACATAACAGTTAATCTAAACAGAGAATACAGACTAATGTTTGTAATTATCTTTGTGTCTTAAGCTTCAAGATAGGTTTTTCACTGCTACCTAAAAATTGACAGTGGTCAGTAAAAGGAAGGCACTTGTTTGCATTGGAATGTGGGGTTATGTGACCGACATAAGTATGAAGATAAATAAATATGAGGATAAATAACTTTTAAAATGTTAATAAGCATGTTACATGAAGATCCATGTAACTGGTCAGAAAACAATGATATGTGAACATGAAATAAGTCACCTCTTTAGATGGACTTACTATTTTCTTGGTAATGTTTGTTGCCTTGCCATTGAGTGCTGTGGAAAATCATTAAACACAACAAAAGGTGGAAATTCCTGACCAGAAAATCAGAAGAAACAAAGAAGCAGTTTACTAACTGGCCATATGAGAACAGATTTCCCATGATTTAAACCAGAATACAGTATTGCCTTGGTTTATCTTATCACAGAATCATCTAGGTTGGAAAAGACCCCTAAGATCATTGTGTCCAACCTTTGGCTGATCACCACCTTGTCAACTGGACCATGGCACTAAGTGCCATGTCCAGTTGTTTCTTGAACACCTCCAGGGTTGGTGACTCCACCACCTCCCTGGGCAGTCCATTTCAAGTCCATTACCTGATAGGAATTTAGCACTTGTTATTTCTGATCCTCATCTCCCACTGAATAAGAAGTCAGACAGTGTGGGATGTATGCAAGACCCTTCCTCAAAGCAGATGTGAGCAAAAAAACTTGCTCCTGTTGCTCAAGTGAGCTGGGAGATGCTGCAGGGGATGCAGAGACCAAGGAGTAGAAAAATACAGAAAAAAGGGGTACTTGCTTTTATTTTTATTTTCAATTTAATGAGATTAGAAAGGCACGGAACCCTGTGCATACACTAACCCCATTGTGCTGATTTTGGCTGGGGAAGAGTTAATTTTCTTTGCAGTGGCTGGTATGGGGCTGTGTTTTGGATTTGTGCTGGAAACTGTGTTGATAATACAGAGATGATTTTGTTATTGCTGAGCAGTGCTTAGACAGAGCCAAGGCCTTTCCTGGTTTCCTACTGCCATGCTGGGCAGGAATCTGGGGGTGCATAGGAGGTTGGGAAGAGACATGGCTGGGACAGGTGACCCTAACTGACCAAAGAGATATTCTAGACCATATGACATTGTGCTCAGTATATAAAGGAAGAAGGAAGAAGGGCAGGACATTTGGAGCGATGGTGTTTGTCTTCACAAGTCACTGTTATGCTTGATGGGGCCCTGCTCTCCTGGAGGTGGCTGAACTCCTGCCTGGCCATGGGAAGCAGTAAATGAATTCCTTGTTTTGCTTTGCTTGTGTGTGCAGCTTTTGCTTTTCCTATTTAACTGTCTTTATCTCAACCCACGACTTTTCTCGCTTTCGCCCTTCTGATTACTCTGTTCCTGCTGGTGGGGAGGTGAGCAAGTGGCTGCGTGGTGCTTGGTTGCCAGCTGAACTTAAAACATTAGAGTAGTTTGTATACTGAGCATGATGTCATATGGTCTGGAATATCCCTTTGGTCAGTTTAGGTCACCTGTCCTGGCAGTGTCTTCTCCCAAATTCTCATTCACCTCCAACTTTCTCGCCAGCATGACAATGCGAAAAGCAGAAAAGGCCTTGACTTTGTTAATAATACTTGACTTTTGTCAACAATAGCAAAAACATCACTGTATTATCAACACTGTGTTCAGCACAAATCCAAAACACGGACCCATACCAACCATTGCAAAGAAAATTAACTCTTCCCCAGCCAAAACCAACACATCCATCCAAATTATACTGGCAGTGCGACAGGAGGGCAGTGAAGCTGGTGAAGGGTCTGGAGCACAAGTCCTGTGAAGAGCAGCTGAGGGAGCTGGGGGTGTTTAGCCTGGAGAAAAAGAGGCCGAGGGGAGATCTCATCACTCTCTACAACTACTTGAAAGGAGGGTGTAGCCAAGTGAGGGTTGGTCCCTTCTCCCAGGCAACTCATTACAGGAGGAGAGGACATAGTCTTAAGCTGCACCAGGGTAGGTTTAGGTTAGACATTACAATAAAATTTTTCACAGGAAGGTTAATTATACATTGGAATGGGCTGCCCAGGGAGGTAGGGGAGTTGCCATCCCTGGAGGTGTTTAAGGAAAGACTGGATGTGGCACTGAATGCCATGGTCTGGTTGACAGGATGGTGTTTGGACATAGCCTGGACTCGATGATCTCAGAGGTCTTTTCCAGCCTAATTGATCCCGTGATTCTGATTCTGTGATTCTGTGATTTCTGAGTATCCGAATCTCCTTCACAAACGCTGCGAGGTAACATCCCGAGCCGTGCCAGCAGGTCTGAAGACTGGTGTGCATGTCCTTTCGGCCCTCGGGCACTTCACCTCTGCCCCACATGAGTCCCCGAGGGACGCTCCTGCACGGCAGGTACCGGAAGTGCCACCGCGGGACGTTCCGTGTCGCACCGAGCGGCGGCAGCACGCGCGCGCCGGGCGGGGCCGCCCCTCCCCGTGACGTCACGCCGCCATGACGTCGCCGCTCCCTCCCCGCCCGCCCGGCGCCGCCATGTTCAAGGTGAGGGAATCAGGGATCACCCCCGGTCCATCCATCTATCCATCCATCCATCCCCCGGCCCCGCTCCGCCGGCAGCGCCCGCGGGATCCCGCGAAGGGGCCGCGCCGGGAGCGCTCGGCCCGGGGCGAGGGCGGCCCCGAGCGCGGCCGGAGTGAGACTCGGGGGGGCCCCCCCGAACCGCCCGCGGGGTTTTGCCTCTTAACCCTTCACAGGCTCTTGGTTCTGCTCTCGCTGCAGCCGCTTAATCGTCCTTTTAACGCTTCAAACCCGCGTGCCCTCCGTGTTGCAAGGGAAGGAACCGCATTGCTTGTTTAAATTTGCTTCTGGGGCACAGCGGCGCCGAGCTGCCTTACCGCAGAGTCTGGGTTCGTGCGTGCAGAGCACATTCCGTATTTGCAATTCTTATTTTCAAGTTGCGTCCAGCACCTCGGAGCTGTGTTACCGAAGAGTTTGGGTTCGCGCAGCTGTCGCGTGAAAGTCACTTGAAAGTGACAACTCGGCCGTGAAAAGTGTCCCTTTGGTGCGTGAAGGTTGTCAGTGAAACCTGCGAAAAACACCAGCCGGGACTTTTTGTCTCAAAGGTCTTTGCCTCCGATAAGAGGAGCCCCAGATCCTTTCAGGCCAGAAGCAAGCTGTGTGCTTCAGTCAGGTTGTTGCCACGGCCGCTCGAGAAGCGGGAAAAAAAAAAAAAAAAAAAGGTGATGCTTGATTCTTTGTATTCATTCTCCTAGGTGCTGTTTTCTGTGTCAAATCTTGATAGTATATATCAATATACTAATATATACTAAATATACTAGTGTAACTAAAACACAAGAAGTTCCACCTCTGCGAGGAAGTGAGGAAGAACTTTTTTCCACTGAGGGTGGCAGAGCACTGGAACAGGCTGCCCAGGGAGGTGGTGGAGTCTCTCTCTGGAGACATTCAAAACCCACCTGGACATGTTCCTGTGCCACCTGTTCAGGTGACTCTGCCTTGGCAGGGGGGTTGGACTGGGTGATCTCTGGAGGCCCCTTCCAATCCTAACAATTCTCTGATACTGATCTGCTGAGCAGACTACAACTGCTCTGCTCTTGTTGCAGCTTCTTTTTTCTTGTGATAGTTGCTGGAATTGTTTTGTGAGGATTTTATATTGGAATCACTGACAATTCCATAATTGATACTGAATTGTCTTCAAAGGGGTTATGTGTGAACCTGCGAGTTTAGGCACTATGCATAATACTATTATTTTTATACATCGAAGTTAGGCAGATTTAGGTGCTTCAGGCCAACATGATTTTATACCTCTAAGAGCAAAATGGGAAGGTGGCTTTTTGGCCTTGATATTTGTGCTGCAGGGACAGGAGTGCTCAAGAGTTTGGGGTTTGGTTTTGTGTTTTTATAGTTGGGGTTGGGAAATAGGAGGAAGAACAGAAAAAGAAGAGAAAAATGAAGTGGCTTTGTACATTAGGACAAATATCAGCCTTCTCAGAAGTATGCTCAAGGTTTGGGTTTTTTTTTCCTTTCTGTTTTTCCTTTCCCACCTGTTTTGACAAGGTGACAAAAGTCATAAATACATTGAGAATCCACAGACAAGAGGAAGAAAAGAAAAACGTTCTAGTTAATCTTTAGCCCTTTATATGCCTGTTTGAGAACTAATATGGGATTTATGCTTCCCACAGACATTTTTTAGTTAAGAACTTAGAGAAAGACACTAAAGCAAGACAATAGAAAATAAAATATAACAGTCTTTCTCCCCTCCTTCTTTAGGATAGAATTTGCTTATCTTGTGTCTGAAGATAAAGTTGAATTCTTCAGCTAGAGGGAGGAGTAAACTTAGTATCTTCTTTACTTACGGTAACTGCAGAGCATTGTCAAGAGAAAAGAATGTCGGGTTTACTCTTTTGATATCAATGGAGTAAAACAGGCAGGGAAGACACATGTCAGTCAGTCAAAATGCTTTACTAAACCAGTTTAAATGGTTTAGGAATACGTGGTTAGTATAGAATTAAGAAATGAGATCCTGAAGGTAACTTTGGAAACAAAAAGTGCAGCGGTTGATCTTTCATACTCCCAAATAAATATTTTCATGTGTGCGGTACTTCAGCATCAGTTCTGTCTGTCCCATAGCTCTCTGTAGCTGATGTAGAGGACCACTGCAGTATGTCCTGAACAGCACATTTAAGGAGAGATTCAACTTGCACTTTTAGTGATTAATTTCATTTTGTTAAAACACAAAACCAGTGGAAAATGTCTGCATTGATAATATAAATGGTTGACATTTTCAGTCTGAGTAGTTCTATGATCACTGATACCTGTTTGTGAAACCAAGGTGCTTCCATTCTTGTGCTCTGCTGATTGTGTCTTTGTATAAAAATCTCAAATATTTAAAACATTTGGATTTACGATTTCTGCTGTTGACAGCACCATTTACACTGTTTGAAAACATATTTCAGAATGAAAATGTATTTAGATTTTTGCCTTTTCAGTGACAGAACAATTGTGCAGTGAAAAAAGGAAAGATTGAGGAAATAATCTCTACAGTTACTAATGGTTAGTAGTGTTCATGTTTTTGTCTTGGCCAATAGAAGTATGTGAAAAGTGTTTAAACAAACACCATGAAAGATTATTCCTGTCTTTTCTTAGCTGTGAAACAGCTCATCCAGTCGTTGTGGTGTTTCATTTATAGTGCTGTAGCAATGCATCCATAAATTCAAATAAGGAAAAACTTCCATTTTAAGCAAGTTTTTCCATACCTTTTGACCCAACAGATCCCTTATGTCTTCCTGAAAAGCAGTCCTGTGACCTAGTTCTTGTGTGCTGGTTCTCTACACATAAATGATAAGGAAGTTTGACAAATGTATAGTCCGAGTTTTAATTTGAGGAGGCTCTTGGTTACATTTAATAAACATTCTATCTGCAAAGCAGTGGAAGAAAGTTAATCTGCAAATGCTTATCTGTGTACAGTAAGATGATGTCTGGATAATTTTAAAGCTGTTTTCTAACAGTTCTGCACTGGACAGGAAGTTTCAGAGCAATTGTCCTGTGGCAAGGCCAGTTATCATCATCACAGCATGAAGGATGTATTGGTCTGACCAAGGCTTCAGTGTCACAAGCAGCTAGGTCAGTGTAATGGACCCTTCTACTTCTGAAAAGGTAGAGGGTTTGCTGCCTTCTCCTTTTTCATCCCCTCCTCCCTGGCCACACCGTTCCTGTGGTGCTCGTCAGGCTGTTTTATGGCTGGATTCAAGTTGCTAAGCCCGCACAAAGCTCTCCGCTTCTCTTTCAGGACTGACCTTTTCCCAAATTGCCGAGGTGAAATTGCCTCACGGTGGAAGCACCTGGCCAGCAGAGCTAGGGCAAGGTGAGCAGCAGGACTTCTGGAGCCTGTGCCAGAGCAGGGCCAGACATTTCTAGTTTGGTGTTAGATCCTCTCACCTGTAACCTGATGCAGCAAAACACTGGCTGTTGTAACTACACTTTCCCCTGAGCAGTAACAGGAACGTGAGATATCGAAAACTTTCCCGTTTGAACTGCCGTTTCTGGAGTTATACTTTGCTGTTAATAAAGATGTCCAGTTGTTGGGAAATGCTCACTGGACATTCTGGATTTGCTACCCAGCTCAGGTTTTCATCTTCTGGTTTTTTTTAAGTTGAAGCAGACTTTCCCATTAAGAAATATAGTTTAGTGTAGGTCCTGAGTGTCAGAAGAATTATATCCACCTTCCTCGTGGTGGTTGTGTTGTGTGACTGGATTGAATCTGAAGTATTCAAAAACAGTCAAGTAATTCATGTTTCTCACAGAAAAGTAGGAGACATTCCTAAAATTCTTAGAAAGCAGTGATTATGCTCTGATATTTTCAGCTGTAGGTCTCTATCTTTTCTTGAATCTAGATGCAAATACTAACTAGAAGTAAAATGCTGAACGAAAAAATTGGAAGTGTTATAGGTATTCACAAAGTTGCTTATAATATGAATATATTCTTAGTATTTATATTGAGAAAGGTAATAAAAATTTCGGTTTAAAATGAGAGAAAACAAAATGTTTTTTAGAGATGAAAACTGGTAAGATTAGCATTTATATTTACTGTCTCCTTTAGCCTTAGGCTTCTCCAAATACCACCTGAATAATTTAGGTGTTACCACTTGTGTGCCTGAGATTGTGTACTGCTGACCCCCTTTCTCCTAACTTCTAAGCTTATTAATATGTCACTTTCTACCATACATAGGTACTTAAACATTGTCTACATGGATGTGTTCAAACGTTGCCATTTTGTTTGCACCTAGTGATGTCCTTGTCTCCCTACAATGTTTCCAGGTAATTCGGCTGGGGGCCACCCCTGTCAGCCTCAGCTTGCTCTCTGTCCAGGTTTATGCTGCTTCCTCAGAGAAGACTTCCAAAAAGGAGTTGCTGAAAATTGAGGAGGTAAGTGTGGTTAGAGCCTTAGTGCTCTTTTATCTAAAGAATTCTGAAAGACATTATATATTTAGGTGCATCTCTTCACCTTTTGTATTCTTGCCTTTAAATTTGCTTCTCAATTTTCCATAATAGAGAGGTCTATATAGTTCTGCTTCTTTTACCTAGGAGTTGCATTTGATGTCCTTCACTTGATAGCATCAGGCTTGTTTGTGTGTAAGATCTTTTTCCTACATTAAAGCTTTCTGTTCTTCATTCAGAAATTACGTTTTCGTGTTTGTAGATTTACTTGTGGTTGTACTTCAAATACACAGGAATATTTTCTTTGCCTTTTTTCCAGATAACACTATTTATTTTTTACTGTAAGTACTGTTGGGAAATTCTAATAAAATTTCGTTTATCATGGCTGGGCTTCACGAACGAAGATTTGGGATATTTCGTTTATATTCTCCACTAAAACAGCAAATCAGAATGTTTTATTTCTAAAAATATCCTCTTTATTTTATGACCAAAATTCTTGTCTGGCGATGTTTTGAATCTGCTATAGTAGCTTACAGAATTTTACCAGTTTTCCTTTCTTTACACCATTTAGACCTAAACAACAACAAATACAATAAGTAGTGGTAATAAATACCTGTCACCTTTTTATTTCTCTAAGATGCTACAAAAATCTTGGTTATATCACAAGTAGAGCTTTAAAACACCCTGTCAAACTATAGGCTCACCAGCATTGTTGCACAAGCTTTTAAAAGTCTCCAACATTAAAAAAAATTAAAATAAGTAGTTCATAACTAAATACAGCTTTATATCCATGATAGTGTGTAGTTGTTTAAAAGTTTCCTTGAAGTACTTCAATCCAAGTTGTTACATAAGCAGTAGAACTGAATTAAACTTACTTTTGTGTATACTTAGGCCTTTTGGAGTTGTCTGCGTGGGCAATTCACTTGTACAGTGTGAGAGGATCAATAATTGAAGTGGTCTCCTGGTTTTACCCCAGCCCAGGCTCGGGCTCACCTCATACCTCCACTGTCATGAGTCAGTCCTGAGGCAGCAGTGAGCACTTCCATGTGTGCTGAGTAATTGGCTTGCCCATCACCTCCAGCAAAGCACCATGTGCAAGCCATGGAGTTTTGGCTGCCTTTCTTGCCATTCACAGAGCATTAGTTTGGATCTCTACTGTGTCAGCTGTCTAGTTGCATAAAATATATGGGAATTTCCCTATCTCTGAGGCTTCTGTCCTTGTGCCAGACATGGCTGTTAGATTGTCCAACAGGATCCAAGTTCAACTTGTGACTAGGGTTGCAGGGATGACTAGATCTCATAGGGAAATGAGACTGAAAATACTTGTCTTTTGAAGTATTATGGGAAATCCAGCTGCATGAGCTACCAAATTATTGGCCAGATTCTATGTTGTTATATATTTTATTATGATTAACAGCTTTTTTGTTGTGATAGAGATGCAGTTCTTTTCCAGCTCATCATGAAAAAAGGGCTAGCTACACTACTTTGATGCAGCAATATTTGTAAACATCAGTTTATAATGAACTACTAGGTGGAGTATAAATGTGGTATAAAATTTAAGCTCTTTATACTAAACATCAGCATGGTATTTAAACTGGTAGAAATTTTAACAGATTTTGGTTTGGTCTGAACTTTGCTGTTCATCTTCAATAGTATAGACTTTGTGGTTTTTTTTTAATGGAATACAATTTTAAATATGCTTAGGTAATCTTAATAAATGTCATGCTAAACCCCAAATAGGGTGGTTTAGCATTTATTATGTGAGGATGCCCATTGCTGGTTGCAGCTCCTCTTTGCTCAGCCCCAGAGTGCTGTTAATGCTCTCAGTTGCTGATGTGGTTCATGACCACAGTGTAGGGATGTTGTACCATTTTCCTGCTCAGTAACAAACATTTGTATCAGATGATACCTTTGTTAGAAGCTGCTCAGGCTCTTTATTGATGTCTTGTGTGACTATAGAAAATGATAGATTATGATTTCTAGTACATTTACTATGTTAAGTGGGAGCCGTAAGTGCTGATTAAGGCAAGAAACATTTTTCATAATTACGTTTTGTGTTCTTATTAAACTAGTTTAATATGAATTTATAACTTGTGACTTGGATCATATAGCAGCTATGAATGAATTGCATAGCAGTTAGAAGTCATCTTCATCATAATTATGTACTGTATAATTAAACTTTGCTCATAATGGTTGTCTCACAGCTGTGCATTTTTATTATGCATTGTTTATGTAGTAAGCACAGTGTTAGATGTTCTCTGCTTAGACTGTTTGTGCCCTCAAGACCTACTTGCACAATTACACCTTTGTTATTAACCTCTTGTTTGCTAATATTCACAGCTGTCACTCTACTCCTCTCCAGCTCGTGAGACTAAATATGTGGAGAATCCACAAACTGAATTGGAAGAGGGGGTTTCACGTTTACGACATGCTATGGAGCCATATACAGCCTGGTGTCAGGTATAATGGTTTATATCACATCTGGTAGTGGCTCAGTGATAAGGGTCGAGCTGTGTGATTTTTTTTTTCTTTGTTTTTCAGAGTTGGAATTAACAGGTAGCAGCAAAGTAAAAGTTGATAGCTGTAAAAGCATTATTCAAAAATGCTGCATTATTTAAAGTTTTCTGCATTACTTAAAATTTTCCACAGTTCAGGTCATAAATGTTTACCCCCTTCTCACACAAAACCAGTGGTTTCTTTCTGCTAATTTTTGGAACTAAACCTCTGTTGTTTTTTTTTTTCATTTTGTCTCCCTCCAAAAGAATTAAAATTAACTAAAGTGTAGAATTGTTATCTGAAATGACCTTTCTGCGTAAATATATCTAGCATGTCTGGATTTGGTACTGTCCTGTGGCCGAGGAAGACAGGAGTGTGATAATCAAATTTGCAGTTTCCATGCTCAAGGAGAAAGCCTTAAATTATCAAGAGGTGTGTGTTGGAGCGGAAATACCGCGTTACCCTCACTGCAACTGTGACAAAACAGAACTTTGTAAAAAATATATCAGTATTTGCTGAACTGGCAGTAGTAAACCTAATCCCCAGACCTTACCTCAAAACTTCCTCATACATATTTTATTAGACAGCATGTTTGTAGTAAACAGTCATTAAATACACAAATAGTCTCTGGAGCAGATAATGAAACCAAGATCTTTGTAATCAAGGCCTAAATTGTTGGTATTAGATTGCAAAGTCCTAGCATGGTTTTCTTGCTCTTTCCTGACACATCAAATGTTGAGGCTTACTTAAGAAACAAGGGCATCCTTGCCATCTGGTTGCCTTTTGGCAGCTTTAGACAATTCTCTACTTTGCCCTCTGGCTGTTGTGAATCCTCTTAAGCTGCAAATTCCCAGTTCTCTGTAGAAAGCCAAGCTGTTCAGATCAGGGTGTCCTTTCTACCTGGAAGTTCTGTGTGGTGGTACTCACCTTCTTTAACAGGAATGCAACATTTTTTCAGGGGTATTCAGTGTTAGTCTAGTGATGTGTTTCTAAAGTACCGGAGCACTGGCTGCAGTTTGGAAGCTGAAGGGGCTTTTTGCACAGGATAGTTAGAGCTCTGACCTCCTGAACACGTGGGTTCTGTTTGTTGCCTGTGGTAACCTTAACCAGGGAATGAAATTTGAGAGCAGGGTAGTTGCCCACTAGGACTGAGGGCAGGTAAGCCCTGAACCTTGTTTTATGTCTCACTGGCCTGTTGTCATCCTATTTGTTTTATTTTTTTTTGTCTGTGTGGTGATCATTTACATACGATGTGCTCTTCTGCTCACACACAACAAGCCACTTCCTGGCAGTGGTTTACTGACTCATTTTATGAAGCGGGCATGTCAGCTTTATGTGTTTGGGATAATTTTGTTTGCTTAACTGTAGTTAGAGGTAACTTTGTTTTATACCACCCCCACCCCCTGGTATGTTTAAGGAAATAATACTGGAGTGTGTCTTAAGTTGTCTTTAAAATTAAAAACATAACCTAGGATAATGAGAATAAAATTGGTTATGTTCGTACATCCATTTTACTTTTTCAAAATTACTTAACTGTAGTGGAAATTCAGTTCAAAACTCAGGTGTAGAAATGAGCCAGTTATGTTTCAGCTGTGACAGAAGATTAGACTTAATTAGTCTCTGGGGTCTTTAGACCAAGTTCTTTTTAAATTGGCTTTTAATAAGACCAACATCCATTTAGAGTCATGTCACATGTGACATGCTAACACTTTTTTATTTTCATGACAAATTGGGTTTTTTTATGCCACTCTTGCCAGTGAGGAAATTAAAGTTCTAAAAATATTATCCCCATGCAGTATCCTAAACAAATGCTTTCACTTCTGTACAAATGCATCATAGGTGGAACTGTGAGACCATTCTCTGCTTCATCTTTGGCATGTATGTTTATGAATTTGTTACCTAATTTATAGACAGCCTTACACTGTCCCTCTGAAGGATTATTAGCATAAATAACAATTAGCAGGGTTCTTTCTATTGAGATTTTTTTTCTGTTTTGGTAAAAGACAATGTGGATTCTTTTACTTCCTGCGTATTTTCAGTCTGAAAAAAATCTAGAACTAGTCTGTGGGGTTGGTGCAGAGTTCTTTGATTTACTTTGGACATTGTATGGACATCTCATTTTCCAAGTCACTTCAAAAATACAGTTTTGTTAGCCTAAGATAGTCTCCTGGAAAGTGGGATTTATCACCTTGCAGAGTGAATCACATATCCTTGTGAAGTGCAAGGAAGGATTTATTGCAGTGTTGGACTTCTTTTCTTTGCATCAGCTCAAGTATCTTTGCAATACCTATGTACACTGAGAAACCTGAGCTAATTCTGAGTTTCAGCTACCTGATCTTAATAAAACATTGAGATTGACTTCTGCATTTTAAAGTATTATATTTCATCTGTGTCCAAAGACTACTTTGAGACAAATCTGTAAGTTATGCCAAATGTAACGTTGAGCAAGCATAGCCCTACAAGGGAAGGGTGGAAGTGGGAATACAAGGAGTTATTTTAGTGACTCAGCACTTTTTTCTTTCCTGTTACAGGGTTTTTTTCCCTTTCTTTGTCAGGTCAGTTTCAGTCTATAGTTAATATTTGACTTACTTGGTATCTATTTACCGTTGTTCTCTTTTTTTTTTTTTTAGGATCTTTATGCCAAAGCTATGCCCAATTTAGAAAAAGCTGTTGAGCATGGTAGAGGTAAATCAGCTGAGTTTTCTTAACTAGCAGTTTAAAATGCAGGACTGTACTATATCTTCTGTTAAAAAAAATTCCAGTAAGCGTCATTATATGTATGAGTTCTAATGCATTTACTTTATTTGCACTGTGTATCTGTTTAAATTTCCTTTGTGGGTCACTTAGGACACTACATTTCTAAACAATTAAAATTTGAGACCAGCATCTATGTTTATCAATGTCACCAAAAATTAGTTATGCAGGAAAATAAAGGAAAAAAGCCTCACAATTTATTCCCAGCCAATAGTATTTACATGACTCAGCCTGGTAGCTGAAACTTCCTGTAATGATTATAACTTATTGCAAACATTAGGTCTTTTGTTTGTAATGTTTAGCCTTTTCATTTTGGTTTACTTCCATGGATCTCCAAAGAATTTTGAATTAATCCAAAATAATTTGTATTTGTTTTTTATTTTTGTAAGCATCCTTTCATAATTAGGCTTACCAGGACTGAGCATGGATGCTATGTATGTCTCAGTTCAGATACTGCACCTCTTTTCCTTAAATTTAGCAGTCTCAGTCTTTTGAACTTGTTTGTATGGAAGATTTTTCATAGTTTTCCATTCCCCATCGGACTCACATCTTGGAGTGAACTTTGTTTATGCTGTGTCTTTCCATTGCTCTGTGATTTGTTTTTTGTACAGTGTTTTACTGAAACTAATTCCTGTTAACATGTAACTGTAAAATTCCACTTCACAAAGGTTTTTATCACTAATTTGAAAAAGATATGATCGAGATGCAAGAGAGCAAAAGCTTCTATGAAAATTGGTGAATACAATATGATGTTCAGTTTCATTCATGTGTCACTAGAGAACATCTCAAAGGCTTTGAATTTTATGCCAGCAAGTCTAAAATGGGCATGATAGTTAAATGTGTTTTGATAACTCTTTGTGTTTTGTAACAATTACCAGTGTCTATTGATGATTCCTTATCACAAACACACTTTCACATTACATTAAAGCACTTTGTTCTGACTTCTTTTCAGAGGGCTATGAATTTCTCCAAAAGCCGCCTGCTGGATTTTATCCAAGACTTGGTGTGATAGGTTTTGCTGGAATTATTGGATTGTTTCTTGCTAGAGGTAAGCGGGAACCTTTTGAACTGGTTATGTTATGATTTGGGAGAAGTAGTTTATTAGTGGGTTTTAAGGTACTAATTTTTAATTGTGACGACGAGATCTGACTTAAACGTACGAGCTGTACAAATGTTTCTACAGTGTTCCTCCAGCTATAAGGAAATTTAATGTAAAAGGTGTGTAATAACCATCAATTACTGTTTTATGAATGCTGTATTTGTTACTGCAGTTTGTTACTTTGATATTTCCCAGTTCTAGCTTAGTATGACAAAAATGGGAAAGGATTAGTTTGGGTTTTTTTCACCTAAAAATCTTTTTAATTATTTAAGTTTTTGATCACATATGTTACTGTAGAAAACTACAGAGGAATGAACTATGGTAAAATACCGAGGTTCCTGAACTATGATGTGTGTCCAATCAGTTGTATATTCAAGTTCCTTGTGTGTCCAGGCACAGAGCTGCTGCAGGTGGTGATATTCAGCAGATACACTTGTGAATTCTGGGTGTACCATAGATACCTGCACCTTTTGCACTATAGAAAAGTGATACAGGTAATTTCATCACACTTGTTGAAGGAACATTTATGCTTTCATAGAAAGAAACATTAGTTTAAGAAATGTTAATTGTATTTTATGTTTGTGTGAGATGTTCTTAATACAGTGAAGTGAAGTAACACAAGAAGAAAACTTGTAGGTAACAACTGTGAAATTGTAGAATTTAAATACTAGTGAGGATTTGCTTTAGATAAAAATACACCTTTGTGGGGCCTGAACGTATTGAACAAACTGTAAGTGTGTGCTTGGCTACGCAGAAATGGAAAGTATTCTGTGAATATATGCACTTTTCAAAATATTTAATTTTCCAGTGAAGATGGTGAAAGCAATACTGTTTTTTTTCTTGCATATTTTTTTAAATGAAATCAAGTTCTCCAATTTTACCCTTTGAAGTTATTTCTGTTCAAATTCCTGCTTCTCAAGTTATGTGATCATGAATGTGATCAGCTTCCATTAGGACTGTAGCAAAATGGGGACAGAGGGATAGACAAAGTGCAGTCTTGGAGCTGGAATTGAAATATTAGAGGATCTTAAGTTTATTAAAAATAAAGATACCTCATAATAAAAGTGATTAGTGAGGAGCTATAATTTAAAAACTTTTTTCTGGTTATGCTTTACAATACTGACTGCTATTTCTAGAAAGTATTCAAACTGTAGAAGTGCCCCTTAATTTTGATGCCACAGAAAGCTAGAACCAAATGTCCTCTTTTTTTCATCCCTTCCCCCATGCTCTCACTGGAAAAATTGTCCTCTGGAAAGGTGCAGATAAAATCCTCCAGGTCTAACCATAACACTTGAAGACACAGCTGCCCACTAAGTAGAAAATATGGTATTCAAAGTTTAATTCTATGGATATTGTGCAGTCATTCAGCTTGATTTAAAATGCCATTGAAGATAATTATTTTAACCTTAATTTGCATAGGGAGTGATGCACTTCACTCGTAAGAGAGAAGCAGTAATGTCTTTATTGATATAAAGCAGTGATTTAACAGGATTTGATGGCAAGGTACACTTGGTACTGCACAGAGGACAGGGTCAGACAGACCTATCTGGGGAGGATCCTCCTCTTGAGTCACGAGATTCAGAGATGACCTCCTTGCTTTCCAGACTCCTACTCAGAGGGGTCGAGGTGCAGCTGGGTCCAATCCTAGTCCCAGACTTGGTCAACAGTTCATGTCCGAAGGATTATATGTGCACAATCTCTCTAAGATACAATCTTAATGAAGCTTACAAAGTTTAGCAAACTATTAGTCACTTACTGAGGATTTGTTGCAGCAAGGAATCTCTCAGTATCGAGGACTAAGGGATCTCTGCAGCAGGTGTAGCCTTGAGAGTGGTCCCTCAAGGGGAGACCCTGTCGTGCAGCCAGCTACTGTGCAGGAGAGCTCAAAGGACTCTTGGGCTGCTCACTGATTACAGGGTAAGATCACAGAATCATAGTCATATTTGCATCCTGACTGCAGGTCTTAGTTTCTTTCATATTTGACTTGAAGTGAATGTCGACCAGCACTGTGCTTACTCAAATTAGCCCGTGGCTGATGTGTTGCTGCCTATCTCCCCTGAACCCACTTTGAGCTGGATGCAGCCACTGACCAGAGGCATCCATGTAGTTATAGAGTAGTTTTCACTATGGAAAGATGTTAATAAAAACATTGTCTTAAAAAAGCTAAAAGAATAATTACTAATTAGGGTAATTATGTTTTTTAAGAAAGCAGTAGGACTGAACAGAAAATACACCAAACCGTATTTAAGAAAATTGTTTATAAATAAAATGTTAGGGTCATTCAGCTGTCTTGGTTAATGTATACTCTAACAATATGTTTGTTTGTTTGTTTGTTTTTTGTTTTTTGTTATGAAACAGGCTCAAAAATCAAGAAGTTGGTGTACCCTGTGAGTCTCATGGGTATTGCTACCTCCATGTATTACCCTCAGCAAGCGGTTGCTATTGCAAAGGTCAGTGATTATACCTTTCTTTGGAGAAGTGTCTTTTATTTTGATTATTGGCTCCTTGCCAATAATTAATTTGCCTTCCTTTTAACTGGTAGTCCATTTTTGAAAGTAATTTCAGTGTTCTTGGCACTTAACAAAATTACAGTTATTTTGTCAAAGCACGTACAGTCTGGACTGAAAGACAGTCAGACATCCTGTTCCTTTTAGTGACATTTTTTTTCCTGACATCTGCAGTAGTCTCCTCTGTTTGAGGAATATAATTTCCTTTCTAAATCTCTAACCTCAAATAATATTAGCATAAATATGCTTAGTGAATACAGTTTGTGTGTTTACTTAAAATGCTAAGGAAGCCTGAAATATCTTGAAAACAGATGAAAAGAAAGAAAATCATAGAGAAATCATAGGAACAACATTTTGAGATAAACGTTATTGATATTTTCTGGGTTTTGTTGATTAGGGTTTTAAGAAAGATAGCATGCACATTCTGGAAGGGGGTAAGAATGCTTCTGCATAATTATGGGATGCCTTCTCTTCTTACAGATTTGTTGTTTTAGGCACATAAGAAGCATGTTAACTTACAGTTGCTTAAGTGGGTTTCCTGTAAAAGAAAGAACTGAAGAGACCAAACAGTAGCCCCTACTAATGTCCAATTATGTGCCTTGCTGTCCACACTTAGCTGTACTGGCAGATTCCTCAGTTCTCAGCACATTCCGTTTCCAATCCAGCTTTTAACCACTCTCACTGCACCTATTTTAATGTGTCAGAAATTCTTTATATTTCAGCCTTTGGTAAATTTGCCATCCAGTTATTGGCCACTTGTGAATAACTCTGAGATGTCAGAATGATAATATCGCGTTGTCAAGAACATATGATGTTCTTTGAAAACTAAAAGGTCATTGACTTAGGAGGAGTCAAAACTGCTGTGTTTGTGCTCTGCCAGCAGGATGATACTCTGATCTTTGATGGAATCTTTTTTTAGTGCTCCCAGGATGCTCTAAACACATATAATTCTGCTGACTTATTCTCAGAGAGTGGAAATTATGCAAGTGGCAGGAAAAAAAAAATCAAAATTTAAGAAGCTTAGACATTTCTGTTGAGAAGTGTGTATTAAAATTCTAGTTGCCTTCTGAACAATGAAGCGGGAAGCGATTGAACGCTGTTCAAACTGATGTTATTGTTTTGAAAGAAGCTCAGTTCAATCTTAACTATGGATTTGCTACTAACAGCTTCACAATACCATGTTTATTTTATGAGAACTTTGAAGTGCATGGTTGCTCTTTGATTAATTCACAGTTCTTAGTTTGACTGTAATGAAAAATCTGATAGGAGATTGGAATAGGTTTAGCTTTGTTGACTTGGTCAGGACACTAGACATATGAATTTGGAAACTTCTGTGGGGAGAGTGATATCCTAAATACTGTTTTGGTTCCTCTAATCTCTCTTGTGCTTTGCTTTTCTTAAAAAAGCAAAATTTTAAGCATATCAGATCTTACCATCAATAATTTTTATGCTTTAATCTGAAATTGGAAGCACTTTCCTCTCTTATTATTTTGAAATGTTTCATAGGCCTTTCAGAGAATTTCTGTAAGCCTAGAAAGGGATGTCTGCAGTACAGGGCTCACTTGCCAATTTAATAAAACAGTGTGGGAAATATTCTGGAACATAAGTTTTATTTTTTAATCTATTTTTTTATATTATGGGATCTTTTTATTTTTCTTCCACATTTAAGTACTTCACCACTGCTTTTTTATTTCAGTCATATAATTCATTTGGTCTTGTGTTGTTTTTTATGTGGTAGATTTTTTTCCTTCCCACTTTTATTTAAGATTTTCCATTGGAGAGTTGGAAATAGATGCAGCAAAATATATTTGCAGTTGAGGTACAACACTTGGTTCATCTGGAAGTAAACCTTTTTCTTCAATTAAAGTGATGACTTGCTAAATGAAGTTATAGCAATGAGTTCATCATTGGTAATAGGTAATTTGCAGACAGTAATCATCTAACGAGGCTGAAGAAATGCATAGACTATTATTTTTTCCCCCTCTAATAAAACACAATTTCTTAAGGGATTTATTTCCTCACTGCAAGTATTACATTAATTTTTATAGCTTTGAACAAAAGGTCAGACTGTATGTGTGGTAAGGAAACTGAATTTAAGACTGAAGTTTGTTTTTTCTTTGAAACTTTAACTGGTGCTTTGAAAATGTATATAATCTATTCAAAATATTTTGTATTTACTGTGGCTTATCTTTCATCTGGAAAAAAATTTTCATTATGTAGTTACTTAAATCACTCTGTCATTAGAATTAAATTTTGTTCCTTGTTGTTAGAATCTTTTAAATTTCCTAAAGTACTGTTTGTTATGCTTTCCTTCTTCTTGAAAGGAAAAAAAAACTTCCTAATATGCAAGTTTTGTTTCTTTGACAACAAAGCACATTATTTCTATGTCCTTTGAAGCTATACCTTGCCCAGTTCAGTCCACAAGGCATAAACAGCTGTACTGGCACAGCTGGGAGCATGACATGATTCCAGAAACTGTGGGTTGAAAAGAAGGAGTTGGGGTTGTTGATCCATGTTTACTGCTGAACGCTCGCAGAATGACACTATGACTGCTTAGTTAACAGTGTCAATATACAAAAACCAGTGCATTCCCAGTTTAGTTTCTCAGCAGGCAATGTAGATAGAGAATGCTAATTATAATTCTGTATGTATGTAATTCTGTATAACATACAGCATAGTCAATACCGCATGATTATGGTCCTATGTGGAATTAAAATATGGAAGCTCGTTTTCATGCACATTGGGCCTTGGAGACCACTGATGCTACCCCAGTAGTGCCCAGTATGGGTGTTGTTTGTGGCCCAAAGTGACTTTCAAACTTTCAGAGTCCCTATTGAGAACCCCTGCATCTGACTTTTGAACTTGTTTGTTCAAAATTTGGCATACAAACTTACGGTGTTGCACTGGACAGTGATGGTATTTCAGCGTGTTGTAATTTAACACAAACAAGCTGGAAATCATCTTCCAGAAATTAAGGATTCCAGGAGACTGAATGGAACAACTTGTCCTTCTTTGAAAGGAACTATTTGTATAGATGTTTGAATGAAGACTGAACAATTGAATGAACTGTTTGTTTTGTTATTGTTCCTGTTACTTTTCATGGTTGGAAGTGCCACTACCAAGAATAGTGGTGGCAACTGCAGTACTCACCTGCTTCCTCTTCAGCTGCTCCATGGGAGGTGCACAACACAAGCCCAATGTGTGACTCGTCTTGTCTTCATGAGAGGATACATTTGGTAGTTATAAAAATGTCCTGTATAAAAGTGTTCCTGTTGACCTTGACACTTGCACTTACAGTCTGTCTGGAACTATATTTTTCTACCCATGTGAACTGTGAAGGTGTGTGCGGGTCCTGACTCTTGGCAGGTGTGCACAGTGTTTAAACATTGGTTGTTTGGGACAGAGTAAACTGTCTGGGTTGCTGTACCTTGTGATGTAGCTACTTCACTCCAGCAACATGAATGGCTGGAGTTTCTCATTTTGTGCAATTCATAAATCACTTGGTCATATGACTCCTGTCATAACAGTATTTTTAAGTTTGTACTGTTAGGCATTTAGTGTGTTTTTAAGTATTTTAATGGACTACTTTTAAGCAGAAACAAAAAATAGCTTATACATAGTTCTTTTTTCTCATTTGATGTTGATAGCTGTGTCCTCAGTAACAGTGCAGACAAAAAAAAAAACAAACCCTTTTTTTTTTATTGTGGGTTTTTTTCAGTCCTGGGAGATTTGCACAAGGATCACACCATCTTTTCAGATGAGCCAACTGGTTTGTTGAAGAATCCTGATACTGAAAAAGAAAATAACTATCTGTACCTGTAATGTTTGAATTGAACAATTTTAGAGATTTAGCTGGTTCAGTTGATGTGCTTTTTTCCGATGACATTTATCACCTTGAACTTTAGAGAAAAGCCAGTGCATCCTACAGACTTGTTTCAAACCGAAGTACAGCTATAATTGTCAAATATGGTGACAAACAGGCTACTTTGTGTTTAAAACAGCCCAGATTTTGATTTTAGTTGTGACTTGGAAATGTAGTTGCTGATTTGGGTTTGGGGTTTTTTTTTATTTTATTTATTAAATATTTTTTAAAATTTATTAAATAATTTAGAACATGGTCTCTGCCCAGAATCACATCCTGTACCACTGTGGCACATAACTGGTATAATCAATCTTGTTCAGACAAACTGCCCCACAGTAGAACCCCTTGGCACAGGGTGCTGTAGATGCTAAAAAGCTGCACTTCCCTTTGAACCCCATGCAGAAAGTTCATAGGAGAGAAATTCCTTGGGCATTGTTACACACATAGAAATCACCTCTGGCTCAGGAAATCTCTGAGCAGTGAAATGATGGAGACTGGAAGAAACTTAAAAATGTAATTCGAAAACTTTTTCAGAGACATCAAAAAACTGTTTTAGAAACATTTACGCTTGCCCTGTTCTCATAGTTTGGGTTTTCCAGCTTTGCCTGCTGTAGGAGATAGGGCAATACCTTCTAATTTATTGAGTTCATAAGTTCTTTTTAGTTTAATAGCTGTTTATGTTGGGCAAAATGTCCATTTTGCTGTTCTTTATTTGTAAGAAAACTGATAGTGATATGAAAGGGAGTATAGACCTGAGCCTTGCAATAAAAATGTTCCATATCACGTAAGGGGCGAGGGATACTTTTTATTAGACTTAGGGATTTTTCCTGTTATCAAGTACCTGACGGTGTAATATAGCACACACAGTCTTTCCTAGCTGTGTTCTGAGAGTTGACAGCTGGTTATTTATTACAGCCATCTATCAGCACGTTCTAAACAGCAAATAAAAAGAAATAAAGGGGTACTCCTGCTGTTTGACCAAAGCAATAAAAACATAAAATTGCAAAATAGTGACAAACTAAGTAGGGGTGGGTTTTTTTGATCTTTAAAATGAGCATGGTCAAATTAAGAAATGATTTGCAAAAGTTAATTCTGTCGAATGTCAAATACTATGAAAACCAGAATTGCTTCCATGCAGCATCATTCCACTCCTCTTTGTACAGATATATTTTCAGGTAGTCTTCAAATAGTTGGTTTTTCTTATTCCTCATGTGTCATCTTTTTTCAAGATGTTTATTAATGCTGTACACCCTGAGCTTGAACAGAAAGAGTTAAACATCTTGTGTTTTTCAACTTCTTCCACTTAAACAAGAAGCAAAGTAATGTTTTTCAGATTGTTAAGTTCATGCTTTCTAAAAACTTCTTTTTCAAAGGTTGCTGGCACACAGCTGTATGATTGGAGTCTTCAAGGATATATTGCTGTAGAATCTCTTTGGAAGGATAATCCTAAGAAGAAGAAATCTGGGGAAAAAAGTGATAAGGTAAGAAGTATGAGGAACTTGATTTCTGAATTTACCACTACCTTTTCAGACAAAAATTTTACAAATAATAGTGGAGTTTTTTCCACTGTGACTTGGCTTTTATTTCTGGATAAAAATATTTCATTCTATCTTTCTAAGCTGTGGAAAAATATTAAGCTTATTTCAAGTAAAACTTTCAGAAATGCTGTTTGTAAGTTTTCTTTAGTGTAATCTGATACGGGTAGGCAAACAGACTTCTAGGAGATATATGTACATAGCTTAGTGAAGCAGTGTCTGAGAGACTGGAGAATGTGCAAGGTGGTTAAATGTGTACCAGAGAAAGCCTATAAGGTTTTTAGGGATTTTTTTTTAACTGCTGCTTAAAGAAATGAAAGTTGAAGTGTGAAACATAAAGCTTCTGTGGTTTTAAATTCACTTCTAAACTCACTGCGACTTTAATTCCTGACTTCTAGGCAACTATGCTTGTTCTGTAGGTACAAACTGCTGCCCAAGCTGCAGGCTGCTTCCCATCTTTTATTGTAGTTGTTTAATGTAACCTGGCAAAACCAACAGGTGATTCAAAAACAACTTTGAACCAGCAGAAAGTCTTGGTCTCCTGCTCTGGACCCCCCGCTTGAGCCATAGCTCACAGCTGGAAACAGTTCAGGGTAACAGTGATGTACAGCTTCTGGGTTGCTGTAAACCAGAAGTCCTATCTGACCAGAACATGGTATTTTTAGCCTTGAGGCCCAAGATGTAAGGGAAATGTCCACTGGCAGAGAGATGTTTTGGAAAAACAGTTGCACTCAAATAGACTGCAGATGTGGGACCAGTTCTCTAGGTAGGTCTAGGTGTAGAATTAGTTCCAAACAAGTTGGGTTGGAGAAATGCTCACGTGTCTTGGCAGTTGCTGAGTCTTCTGAAAGTGGAGACTTTCATCAGTGGATGCTTATCTTGTATTGGCCCAAGGCACTTCAGTAAATGCACTTTGAAAAAAGAAAGGTCAGTTAATCGTACTGCACCTTTCCTAAAACCTAGGCTGTCAGAAAGAATCTCAAGAAAAAGGGCAGTGGTAAAATATTTCAGCATGGCAAACTGACAGCATTAGTAAAAAATAGCTGAGCTTTTCATTTTATTGTGTCTCAGCCTTTCAAAAGGAAACACGTAGTTGTTATTGGAAGGCAAAAACTTTTGACGCTTTCATCTTATTATAAGGCTTATTCAAGCACTTGCTATCTCAGCAGAAAAACAAATTACATGCAAAATTGCAGAGACCACTAAGTAAACACACTTCTTTCTCTTGCTCCTTGCAGAATCTTTAAATCACACTCCTTAATTGCTATCACATGTTACATGCACAAAGGAGCAAAGTGCCATTGCTTGGTGTCCTCCTAAAATTCATCTCATTGTTCAGATATTGTTAGTGTTAACTGTTGCCATTTAACTTGATGGATTAGACAAGATGCAGAAATCTTGTGACTCTAATGAAGAAACAGAAACAACTTGATGAAATTCCCAGTGTTTCAGATGTTCACTTACTGTGATGATCTCTTCCCAGTGAGCCATACAGCCGTACTGCATGTTGTCCTCTGAGGTTGTTGAAGGGAGGGTATTGTCTCCCTGGTGTGTAGAGAAGCTGAGCAGCAGTTGTAAAAAGTCACGTTTTTGACTAGAATGTGAGCTGAGATATGTTTCTGATGGAAGAAGTCTGCTCTGAAGTTTCCTTTGGTCTGCACTGGTGAAGCCATATAAAATACATAGTTGAGAATTTGGGTGGGTAGGGGTAGGTTAGTTTTGTTTGAGTTGTTTTGTTGTTTGTTTTTTAAGATAGCATTGTGATGTTCTGTAAGGATATGATCAGTCACAGTTAATAAAAATCTATACCATTTTTATACATGTAAGCACTGGTGTGTCCCTAATGTGAGCTGTGAGATGTGAAATCTACCCTGGAAAAACCTTTTCAGTCTGTCTCTAGTGCTGTGTGGTTATATCAGTGCAAAATAAGTAATTTTTGTTCATGTAGATGATAAGATCCACCAAATCAATATCAACTTTTCCAGCAAAAGAATTTCTGTTGAAGTTCCATTTTTATTGGAGTTTTTACTGGTACAGAAATGTCATGGAAGAAAATACTTTTAACTGTCGTGTACTTAAGTTGTCAAAGCATTCGAGGATAAATTCTGGGACTTCTGTCCTAATTTAACAGCCCTGTGGAAGACTTTGGTTGCTTTTGTATACATATTTCTTATTGTCATACTAGATTCAACTATGACAATTCCTTAACTAATGAAGACAAGCCTAAATGTTATTCTTGAGTTGTTATTGCAGCAGATGTAACCCATTTCATGAAACTATGCCAGAGCAAAAGATGTTATTTTTTGTTTTTGTGACATTTACTCTAGCATTTTCCTGTTGCTCCACGAAGGATTCTTGCAAATAGTCAAGCAATGGGTGGCTCTTCTTGGCTTCTATTAATTTATTACATTGCTCATAATTTGTTTGATAAGTCATAGGTACCACAGCTGTGCATAACTTCATGTTTGTGCAGCAATATGTCATTAAAAGAAGTGTGGTATGTTATTTTCTGAAGGTTTTATGAAACAAAAACCTGTGCCAAATTGAGGTCATATCAACTGAATTCTAAGTTCTGCCAAGAAAGATGAATTCCAGGACCTCCTGTGGCTACATTTCAAAATACTGTGGCTGCAGCCTCTCCATACAGCAAGTCAGTCTGATAAGTTTTTTAATACACTGTCTTGTTGAAGGATGGAGCTCTTCAGGATGTCAGGATGAAAGCCCCCTGCTGAAACGATACACGTGCCATAAGTAAAAATCAGTGTTCATACTTTTATTTCCAGAAGGACGAAACGTTTTCCTGATAAGGGACAGTGGGAGTAGTTTTTCAGCATCCATATTCTTTATCTTGATATAAAGTGGGCAGCTTTTCTACTTCTTCCCCAAGGCAGACGAGATGGCAGGAGAAATGTAACCATTAGATGGGAGGCCCAGGTGTGTTTTAAGAGGGTTATCTTCTGAAAATCTTTTGCTTCCTGGTGTGATCTTTACTCACTAGAAGTAATTTGACAAAAAACAGTGGAACTGGTATTAGCATTTATATTACCACTTTGGGGGAAGTGATAGTAAAATGGAAGATATGTCCCTGAAACTTTGTTTATCTTAAGCTTAGTGTGCAAAATTTATAGAAAATTGTACTAATTTATGCCTTTATGCAGTTTTTTAGAATGAAGTGTTTGAAACCATTTTGAGTAGCTTTAGGCATCAGACTTTCATTACTGGGGTTTTGAAGTTATGAAGGCTAATTCTCTGCATACCTTCAGCTAATCTTTGTGAGTAACTGGTCTCTCTGTTCTGCCCAATAATATCACAATTCATGTAAGATCATCTTTTTCTACATTTCTTTTCTTCTGCACTTTTTCCCTTCCAGTGTGTACAGAACAACCTGAACTGTTAAGCCAGTGAATTGCAGCTTTTCTTTCCCCCTTTTTTTCTCTCCCCAGCAGTCTGTATTCAATACTGGCTGAGTTTATCAGCTTTAATAGCTTAGGTCAGAGGGATGGATGAACCATAGCAGCTTGAGGATTTCGTGTAACAGCATAAATTTTTAGGACTGTGGTTTTCTATACAAATATATTCTAATGTATTTACAGAAAACTGCATAAAGATAAATATTTCAGAGCCACAGTTCAATACATCCCACCTGTGAGTTTCTAACAATTGGGCCTTGCTTGTCAGTCAGTTAATTTTGATGTTTATTTTAATGAAATGCAGCCTTTTTGCCTTTCCTCTTCTGCCTCTATTTCAATACTTCCATAATTTGTACTGTTGTATTGTCCTGTAAGGTTTTGAGCTCTCATACTGTAATGACTTTGTCTGAAGTGACAAGGGCAGTGTTGTGGTATCAGGTCACTTAAACCCAGGTTTTGTTCCAGTCAGTGAGAAAATATGTACTGAAGCACATACAAACCCAATTTTCTTTGATTAGTTCTCACTTTGTCTTGTCTGTATACCAGTCAAAGACTTTTGCTGTATTTTTAACAATTCTGGATTCTCTTTCTTCCCAAAACACTGAATTGGGCACCCCTTGTTTTTACTGAAATGGCGAAATTGTTCAAAACCAGAGCACCACTAGAGCTCTAAAACCACTCTTCTTTTCATCCCTTGTTCCTTTCTTCTTGCATGTGCTCTTTTCCACTTTGGCCCAACTAGAAGTAAGATCTCACAGAAAACTAATTTCCCTTTCAGCTTTGGAGATTGAGAGAAATTCTTAGGCCTTATTATTTGGTTTTCATTCCTGTCTGGTCTGTTGATGGACACCACCAGTGATTTAGCAACACTAATATATAATATATATAATTTTTAACCTATATGTGTTTTTATTACATGTGTAAAAGATATAAATATTAAAAATTTATCTCTGTTACTATCTCTGGGTATTTTTTTAAGTGCTAGCTGGTTACAGAGCGCTTCCAGGTGTAAAGAGGGCTCAGCTTTGGGTGCTGGTTTCCTGCACTTGCTCAGAACAAACATCAGGGAAGTTGTGGACCTGAACCTTCCTCACCTGAAAGCTCTGAGGAAAGCTGTGGTGTCAGTGTTTTGACTGGGGAGCTCTAACATCAGCATTATGAATTGTGACCATAGCAAACCTTAAATTGAGTTTCAAGAGAGTTTTTAAGTTACTTCTGTTTTGATCGTCTTTTCAAACACAGCATAAGCAGCTGAGAGAGCTTCTTTCTACAGAAAATGCTTGTAAGGGCTTGTCTTCAGAACAGACAAGCTTCTGAACAGACAAGCAAAAGTTTGGTCACCTGAACTAAAAGATAAACATCTACTTTGGGCAGAAAATGCTGTTTCCTGTTAGATGTCCTCCTTTTATTGTTTGGTAGTAAGAACAACAAGAGTATAAAACTTGTAAAAAATATTACTTCTTTTGGAATTGATCCTTAGTATGGGCAGAGGGGAATTTAGATGCATTAGAGGTGGGAAAGACAGAATCTACTCTGCAAAAATTTGGGTTTTTTAAGGGCAACTTTTTTGAAAGTACCTCATATTTCTGTGAGAGTTAAGTTCAAGCTTAACTTAAAGAAAAGAAAAATGAGTAATTGATTGACTGGGGGAAGATGAATAGTGATGTTCTCTTTATTCTAAGCAATACATTGCAAACAAAGGAGGACAGAAGAAAAAAATAAATTATTAATCTGTGAGCCCAGGTGAGCCTATGTTTTTCTTTTGCAGCTGCTGTTTTTTTTTCTGGTGGCCAGACTCTCCCTTTCAAGAGTTCTCATAAGCCTGAGAGATGTATACCTACCTTTGAAGTTATAATTTCTAAGAATAGGTGCCAGTGTAAAAAGGCCTGGCCACCTGCAAAACTTCTTCAGAGGTAGCAACAGAAACCAACTTCTGCACCTGGCTTGGCTGTGAGGGAAAAAGGCACAGGGGGTTTTGACATTAAGCTGGTTTGCTTTGGGGTGTTTTTCTTTGCATGGAAGGAAAATTTTCAGATAAATCATTGTGGGTTTTTTTGAAGTTGTTTAAAATTAAGGTCTCAATGTTAGATACTGTGAGCTAAGTCAGGGTGTCTTTTAATCACTCGTACTGAAACCATACAAAAAGCATTGTGTAATGTGAAAATGGTAGTTGTATCATTTTCAGTTTCAGATAATGATTTTTTTTTTAATCCTATGGAATCCCAATGTATTGAACACTATAATGAATGTGTTATGGAGATTTCTTGTCAGTCACTTTTCGATTAAAACCGTCAGAAGCATAAGAAGGGAAAATATTTCTCCTTTTACTGCAGGATAGAGCTCTGATGTGTGAACTCCTCTGGCCACCCAGATTTGTTATGGAGTGGTTGTGTTGAGCCAGAAAGTAGAAAGACTGTCTTGAATATGTGCCTGCTTCTAATTATGAGAGGGAATCATGGCACAGAGGAGGTCTGTCTTCTAGGTCATGGATCTAAACACATTTTTTGCTTCTGATTTGGTTTTGAGTGTGACTAGAGGACTTTGGCTGGCACTTTTTTGTAAAATTATGTGTGTGTATTTCCTGTGCCAGCTCAAAGGATGTCCTTTTCTGGCTAACCCATATTACTGCTTGAGCAGTCTCACTCAGGCTCATTTTGACATAGTGGGCATATGCAGTGGATGGAGTTAAAAGTACTTCTTAGTTGCTAATTCAGCAAATGAATTTTTGTGAGAAATGACAGTTTAGCAGTGGATTGGCTGAATTAAATAACTCAGGCTTAATAGATCTAGTGAAGGCAAGCCCTGTATTGAGATCTGTTGAGCTCACAGAAACAAAGGAACTTAGCAAGCCCCCTGTTTTCTTGTGTATGTGTGTGTGTTGCTTTGGATTTTTTTCCTTTTTCAGAACACTAAAAAAAAAAATAAAAAATAATCTTACCTAGACGATAATTGCTTTTTACAAGTTAAAACAGGCAACCGGAAAAATACAGACCTCTCTGTGAACAACCTATTTTTAGTTCATTTGTTCAGGATTGAGTAAACCCTAAGGTGAGGCATCGTTAGTCAGATTATTCATTATAAATTGTAATAAAACGTCATAACTTAAAAGTTCCTGTACAGGAAAATTACAGAATAGACCATTATTTTGAAATGGGTGTGGTTTGTGGCTGTGATTTCCTGTACTGTGAAATACCCAGAGTAGCAATCAAAACAAAATGGGTTTTTGAAAGAATCACTTTTCAAAGGTCTTGCTAGGCATTTTTTGAATAAGAAAGTTAAGAATTATCTTCATAATTGAATCTTGATATATTGAGTCCATATCTCCAGCACAGAATATGCAGCGTCTCATAGACTTGGTGCCTTATTGTGTTTAGTTTGTAATGTATAAATTTGCCCCATCCTGTGAAATGTTTTCCAGTCTATTCTGGCTTCTTTTGTTACATTTTCCATCACATTTAGAATTATAGAATAACTGAATGGTTTGGGTTGGAAGGGACCTTAAAGATCATCTCGTTCCAACCCCACCGCCATGGGCAGGGACACCTTTCACTAGACCAGGTTGCTCAGAGCCCTATCCAGCCTGACCTTGAACACTTTCAGGGATGGGACATCCACAACTTCCCTGGGCAACCTGTTCCAGAGCCTCACCACTCTCACAGTAAAGAATTTCTTCCTTATATCAAGTCTAAACCTGCCCTCTTTCAGTTTAAAGCCATTTCCCCTGGTTCTATCACTGTCCAGGTCCCTTTCCTCCAGCACGTTGACTGCACCACACAGCGTGGTGGTGTCAGCAAACTTCCTGGGGGTGGATTCAGTCCCACTGCCCATGTTGCTGACAGAAATGTAAGACAGAGCCAGTCCCAACACTGACCCCTGAGGATGCCACTCGTCACTGGTCTCTGCTCGGACATCAAATTGTTGACGGCCACTCTTTGAGTGTGACCATCCAGCCAGTTCCTTATCCACGGAGTGGATAATCTGTCATATCCATGTCTCTCCAGTTTAGAAACAAGGATATTGTGCGAGACAGTGTCAAATGCTTTGCACAAGGTAGATGGCATCAGTCACTCTTCCCTCATCCACCACCACTGTAAATGTCATAGAAGGCCACCAACTTTGTCAGGCACACTTTGCCATTAGTGAAGCCATGTTGGCTGTCACCAATCATCTCCTTATTTAAATCATATTGGTAAAAATGTCTTTCTAGAATAAAAAGGAAATGCCATTTTCATGTGTAGAATTAAAGAGCAATTGAGGCTGGGTGCCGACTCTGATCATTTCACCCAGCCACCCCCCATTCAAAGCAGAGAGAGCTTCAAAGTTAGATTTGGTGGCTCAGGCCTTGTACTGAATATTTCCAAGGGTGGAGATTTAGAAAGTTCTCTAGAAAACCTGGTCCAGTGATCAGTCATGTGATACGTTTATAATTTTTTGCCCTTTAGATCTAAGAAAAATTTTCCATGCTCCTCTGTCCTTTTCTCCGTGTCGTTTTGGTGTGAACCTCTGAGAAGAACCTAGCTTTTCCAAATATGTAAATGCCCATTAAGAACTGTGGATAGGAATTAGGTTCCCCCTTTGTCTGGTCTTCACCAGGCTGAACAGATCCACATCTCAGCCTGTCCTTGTATGTCGTGTGGTTCAGTCCCCAAGCCGTGTGTGGCCTCTAAGTATTTTTTTTTATTGATATGTATTTAAAACTATAATCAAATGCCTGTTTGTTGTAGCATCTTGGCAAATAGATGGACCGGACACTGTAACAAGCTTCTCTTCGTTCTTTGATTTCTATCATTTATTTTGGGGAAAGTGTGAGAACACTCACTCAAAGAATATGTGCTAAAAGAGACCTATTGTATAAATCCACACAGAATTCAAAGAATGCAAAATAACAACTAATCTGTGGGTATTCATCCTCTGTTATTAGTGCAGGCAAAATGAGTCAATTAAAGCGCTTCAGTTGAACTACTACTTCTCTCAGATCCTCTAATTGCTCAGCTAACTGCAGGAAGACCAAAGTCCAGAAAGTGTTTGAGAGATCATATTTGAGTGTATTATACTGAATTAGTCTCATCAACCACCACTTGATTTGCAAGACATTTTTGTTTCAGCTTTTAAGAGGGTTTCTGTTCCAGCAAAAACATTAATTGTGGACTGCCTCAATTGAAATTTTGTGCACATTTTTCACTCCCCAAGGGTGATGCAGTTGGTGACAAGCCCCTGGAAGTCCATGCTGCTTCAAATAAAGAGCGAGCCCAGAAGTAAAACACTACATCACCTGGCATCAGACAGGTAAAGGATAAAGACTGATAATAGTTTGTGGCTACAGTGGCAAAGTAACCAGGAAAAGCTGAACATTTGCAAGTTTGACTTATGTTCTTCATACTGATGAGGAAAGGAGGGGACAGATAACTTTATTTCTTTTAACATTTGTCAAGAATATGCATGCTCCTTAACACTATTTAAGTTAAGGAATTTCAATTCTTTGTCTTCAGAGCATACAAAATAAATATACTGGAAGGGTTCTGAGTTAATTGAGCAAGGCCTTGTGATTATATTGTTAGTTGGTTTTGGTCTTTTTATTTTTTTCTTTCCTATTTCTTCCTCGCATGCCAAAAACCTTTTTGTCTTCTATGTCACATTTGTACAAGTATGAAGGAGGGAAAAGAAACCTCTTCCCTGCTGATAAGTTTTCTCTAAAGATTTGTCAGTGCCAGGGTACAGTGTTGTCTTACAGCCTGTAACAGTCAACGATGTGCCTGACCTTTCATGTTAATGCACTTCTCAAATGAGATGTTTCATCAGTTGGGAATAAATGATGGAGAAAATGGAGGCAGCATTTCCCAGTTCTCCAAGGCAGAAACTTGAGACACCCATTCTGTTTCTGACTTGGCCTCGGGGCTGCTTTCTAAACGCAAGCAAGTCCTGTGGTTACAGTTTCTAGAAAAGCAAAACAAAAACATCCTCTCAACTTTTTCAAGATGGTTCAGTTTCATAGTACAAAAATTACTCTGTATTTGAGGCTAATTATTAATAATTATAATGGACATTATCTGACATCATTTAGTACAGAATGTCAGATAATGTCTGCTCTGTTATCAGTTGATAAAGGGTATCTTTTATGAACATGTTTTTTACTTGCTTGTCTTTGCCCTGTATTATTTTTACATCATGTTAAAAACTGATTTTTCATCAGAAAATGATCCTGGGATTGTTTGGACTCATTATTTTTCTATGCAGTGTCCCATTTAGTACAAAAATTCTGGGTTTTTTCCCTTACTGCCAACTGTGTAAGTAGGGCCCAGATTTAGCACACTGCACCAGTTTTTTTCTTCCATGCTTTACCACCAGTCACATATGTTTGCAGGTGTGGTGGAATGCACACATCTGCTGAGCAACAGCGTTTCACTGTTACACAGCAACCTTTAAAAGCAAAATTATTTTTGATGTTTTTTCCCTTAATGTATTTTTAATGGCTATAGCTACCTCTCACAAGGGCAAAGAGGTGTGTTGACTGGCTGATGTACTGAGCACGTTAGTTTTTCCTTCAGACATTTGAATATAAAGTCTTTAAGAATACATGTTTTCTAAGTATTTTGTAAAATATTCATGTGAAATAAAAATTGAAAAATAATAGGAAGAATTTTCTTTATTTTTTTTTGCTTAAAGATACCCAGGAGAACCAAGAGGAACAAAAGCCTCTCTACAATTCACTGAAATATTATTGTGCTTATTGTCAACTAGGACAGAACAACTAAACGATAAAAAGCCAGGAAAATTGAACTTTTGTTTGACACACTGTACAAATATCAAGGTTCACCACAAGCAGAAATCCATAAATAGCTGTTATTTTCTTTTAGCATTCCTTACTATGAATATCATTTCTGTTAGGCCTTTATTCACTTTTTGAAATGTCAGCTTTTTGCTTCAGGCACGTTTTCTTTGTTTGGGGAAAGTTTTAAGACAGTGAAGATAAATTGCTCAGGTGCTTGAAGTATCTGGATGGTGCTGGTTTTGAGACCTACGTGCTTCACCACATATGGCTTCTGGAGGAGATGTATAAAGGAAACTGATAAATTTTTGACCTCAGGCAATAAATTGGTGAAAGTTCAATTCAGTATCAATTTCAGCTGTTCTGCGGGGGTGGTGATTTGTTACTTATATCCAGTTATTCAACTCCATACCCAAGTCCAGATGTTTTGTTGGATTTGTGTGTTCCCAAAGGTTGGAGAGCATGGCTCTGGTCTTTGAAAAGACACTTTTTTTTTGTTGTTCTGAATGAGATCAGTCCTGAAAGTCTCACTGTATTTTCAACTGTTGGTAATATTCCTAGTTGAATGTGGTTACTAGAATAAAGACAATCTCATGTCCTCGATGATTTGCCACAGCATGGGTCTCTGAAGTGTAAATGGTCAGCCAAGGACAAAAACACTTTGGGCCAGAGACAGCAATGTGTTTCTCCATTCCAAAACCCAGCACCATTGCACCTCCTTTGTTATAGTTTGTCATCAATAATTATACATAAACTTCAGCTCAAACCACATCCCATCGTGGAAGAAGCAAGCTGTAATTTTATCCAGCTGTGAACCCCCCAGTGAGGGGGTTTTTGTATTTTTTCTTGAAGATAGCATATCCCATTTTCACTCTGTTCCAGTTCCATATTTATGTGATTCCATTTCTTTGAGTTAAATTACCCTGGTCTTGCACCAGTGTAAGTAAGATTAGGAAAACATGCATTTGATGAGAATTTAAAAGAATTCTTTTTGAGAAAGTTGGTTAGTTACACCAGATTCCAGCTGGTGTTTGTTTGCTATAAAGTGTTCTTTCCCTTTTGTATTTCCACATAGGTCAACTATGGGAATCGAGTTCTCTAGAACAGACATGATCATTAGTGCTCTAATGTCAGTAATATGAAGAGTTAAATATCTCTACTGCAACTGAGTTGGTATTGAGAATGTTTCTCAAAAAGATTTTGATCAAGTTGCCACATCAAAGGAAAAAAGTTTTAATGTCACTTTGACATTGGAAAGAAAAGGCCTGTGGTATTTAATTCTGCTTTGTCCCTCCTTTCCTCTCCCCCATGACCTCTGTCCCCTTTCTTTGGCTATAGGTGAAGAAAAATATAGATATAAGCAACAATTTCCCAAGAAAAAGATGAAAACCCATCTGAATCCATTTTGAATGTGACTAATCTACCTTCTGCCTTGGGACAGTCTGACTGTGTGCTGCTCAGGCTTCTGGTATGGATTCTGTGAAAGGACATTACGTGGTTTGGGTCAGTCTGGAGACCTCGTCCTCCGTTCTGCAGTGGGACTGAAGTCTGCCCATGCTTGTCCCATTGCAGGATCAACATTGCAAGTAGCAAGTCTCTAAATCCCTGAGTCTCTTATTATTTATATATAAAATAAAATTCCAGATACACAAAATGGTCCAGTTTTTTCCCTCCTCCTAACTTCTTTAAAGTCTTGGATGCGATGTTTGCACAATCTGTGGAAGGTTCTAGAGATGTTGTTGACAGTGCCTGTATTTTTTTACCAGTGAGGGGAAGCTGGAAGTAGCATGATGTTTTGGCTGACATGGGCTCATAGAATTAGGAATGGGAACAATTACAATGACTCTTGTGTTTTGTTGGAGTCTCCCCCTCCTTTCTATACGAGTCTTCTGCCTCATCAGTGCCAGCAGGAGGTATATAATGAAGCATCTGTGAGTTCCTGTCTCGTAGATGGATGGGAATCGAGCTGTTAATGTTTGTTCTTGTTTTTGTTTGAATGCACAGCACAATGGGAACCAGAATGTTGTGGTGGTGGGAACCAGCTATAGAATAACTTGGCTGTTTCCTTATTCCCAGCCAGGGGAGGGGAGGAAAAAGCGAAGCGAAGAGAAATACAAAAGGATTTCCAGCATTTTGAAATCTTTGCACAATAAAACCCTTTCATCATTTGTTGCCATTTCCATGAGTCTCTCTTTTGGGGCATGATGCTTCACAAGTTACTGTAATCCAAGTAGCTCAGAGCATTTAAAGCTGTGTTGGTGAGTCTTAAATGCTCCTTAATTAAACAGTGAATATGAGGAATGGGGGAAGGATGAAATGAGATATGTGCTTGTATGATACGTTAACTTTCTAAAAAGAGCAGGGAGGAAAATACAAAGTAAATCATATTCAAAATTATTTTAAACATCTTTGTTATTGCATGGTTAGATATTCCAGCTGAGCATATTCCATAAACTTTTAGAGAAAAACAAACAGACCTTGGCAATGTGAATGCCAGTCTATGTGGGCATTATAAAATGGGCCAACTCTTTTTTAATAGAGGCATAAGGCATGTGGTTGCCTCAGGCAGAAAAACAGTGTCTCCCAACATGTTCAGTGCATGTTTTTATGACTGTTTTAGGCTGGTAAAGATGTATGTTGATATAGCAAAGGGAGCAGAGTTCTTGCAAGGGGTTTGGGAGGTATGTGTGTGTGGTTTTATTTTTACTTTAAACTTGCCAACATGGTTCAAGCATGCTTGGGAGGATCAAAGTAGTGTTTTTGTCAGTAGTGGAAAGGAAACTTGGGAAATATCAATCATAGCTGTAACTGCTCTGTCACACCACTCCTGCCATAAAAGCATAGATTTGTTTCTTCCATTGAAGGTAGTTCTTCACTTATGCATTCACATATCATATAGAGGATGATTACCAGGAAATTAGGAATACAGCTTGAGATGCTGTATTTTTTTCAGTAATATTTGGCATATACCACATTGGCATTTAAGAACATGATTACTTGGTAATTCAGGTATTTTCACCCCTAGACTCCACCAAGAAGTGCTTCTCTAATTCTTATTTTTGATGCAGTTGTTAGCTGTTCTGTTTCTTTTTACTGCCTCAAAGTCCAATTTGTTTCATTCAAATGAAACAGCTTTAATTCTTTATTTGTTTACATATGTGTGTGTGTGCATGTTTAAAAAATACTGGGTTAAATAAACATCACTTAAATGCTTTTCATTTGTTCACCTCTTCATACTGCATATTTACACTATTGCTTACAAATGTCCCAAGTGATTGACATCAAACCAGAATGCTTTTATCTAACAGGAAATGACTGCCTTCAAGCACCTGCATACACACAGGACAAGGAAATAGTTCCAAAATGTGAGCAAGACAGCCTTAGCTGAAATCCTTTCCTTACATCTTCTGTTTTTTTCAACTGCAGGAAATTGCAGAGAGATTGTGAACATTCAGCTCTCTTGGCACAGGCTTTCCTAATGAGGAACAGGAGAGCAGTCAACCACTGTAGATATATATATATATATATATATATAAAAATATATTTGTATGTATGCACACATGCACAGCTACGTGGAACTAAATTGTGCATGCATGTGTTATCTCTTGCCAGACTTTGCCTGTGGGTAAATGTAAGCTAAAAATGGTGTATTCCCCAGCCAAGCTTCATGTCAACAGTTTGGTCACCCTTCCAGTTGAAGGCTCTTTGGCTTGATAACCAGAGTCTGTGCAGCTTAAATAGTGTTGTCATCTCAGCATCCTCTGCTGCAGTGGCTGCTGGCAGATACGTTGGGGCAAGGTTGTAGTGCTCTCTCAAAAAAACCATTATCTTTAATCTGCAGCTTGTGGAAGTTGTAGAACTGGAGGTCGTTGGTTTTGCCCTATGTTGAGATCACAATTCATGTAGGCAGCATGTTAGTCGAGTGAAAGTGCACAGTGTAGCCTCTCCTTTTGCTAGAAGGAACATCACCAAGCTGGAGTAATCCTGTTAGTGGGATTACCTATTAGGTAAATAGGCACAATCTTCCAGCCTTGAATAAAAACACAGGATTTTGCCACAAGTGTTCCTTGCAAGATCCTGTTTTAGACTCTGTGCTCCAGCTGCAGGAGGCCCCAGACACAGACTTATTATCGGGGGTTGTAACTAAAATGTGCTGGAGCATTTGTCATTGCATCTGTCACCTTCAAGGAGACCTATTGCTGCACTGCAATAAAGAGCAGGATTGATGAGGAGGGAATTCTGTTTTACTCCTATAGAAAACAGTGGCCTGGGAGATAAAGGGAATTGCTGTTGCTCTGTTTATTAGCCCTGGCAGAAAAACCTCCGTGTAAGCATATTTACTTCAGGATGAATATAAACTGCTGCATGTGTTTCTTTTTCCCTTTTTTTCCGTTTTGTTATTTCTGTACCTTCCTATCAATTCTGAGTTACTTCTAAAGCCAGTTTCATCATAATAAACTGCTATTGACAAAGAGCATTTTGGCTCTTCAGGCTTGCTGGGGAGACCAGTGTGGCTTCCTGCTGGACCTTCCTGGATGCGGCATCTCAAAGCAGCATTGGCTATTGCACCTGGATGGCCTGGCAGCTGGCTGGGTCAGCCCCACTGTGGAGTGGTTTTGACAGGTACAAAAGCTTCTTGTTTACAGGGAAAACCTGTGATAACAATATCATAACTACAAAGCAGAAGTTGTTTTGGCAGAAAAAATGTGTTTCTAATTGTGCAACAACCACCTGTCCTCTTAAGTCTGTACCATTAGCTGATTCTTGTGTTTTCTGACTGTGGATGGTTCTTAAATTGACCAGAGCTGGCAGCTTTCTCAGAGTCCCTCTGGAAGAAATGTTGGTATATTGATGCAATTGTGCTGTTTTCTCCTATATCATGTCGGTGAAGTTCATCCCTAGCTATCTCTGGTTAAAGACCAAAATCTGATCTGGACTTTCATCTTGTCTTGAAGTTCATGGGTTCCTCCAGTTTCTTTTGCCACGTTTTCAAGCTGGTTTTACTGGTAGCCATTGCATTGGTGTTGAAAGATGGTGAATTCACAGGTGGGCTGAGGATGTCTCTCAGCTGATTACCAGTCTTCTTTCTCTAAAAGTGCCTTTCTGCATGGGAAATGGGACTACAATGCCTGCACCAAACTAAGCTGTCAGGCTCTGCATTTAAGGGTCTAAATCTGCCAACTAACACACAAAGCAAGTCAGTGTCCATCTGGGCTGTGTCCAGCTGTGGCAGGTCAATGGGATGCAATGCTCATCACCATGCCCAGTTATGGAGGCATGATCCTCTTATGGGTAAGCTTTGCTGGATCTTCTGGAGAGAGGAAGACAGATCCCAGTTGACTTGCTTCTGTGTGCCTGGGAATAGCCTTGCTGCAGCCTGAGCTGTGCTCAGTCGTGATGCCAGAATCTTTGTACCCACCATGAAAGCAGAGCAGTTGGGGCAATGGGACAGCCTGGTCAGGGAACTTCTCTTTTTTTTGTAGTGTGAATAGAAACCCTCACAAGACTCTAGAATTTAATTGGACTAAAGCTAAAGGATTGCTTTATATGAAGTCTGAGTGTCTGAATCTTGCTCATCAATGCTAACCTGAAGCTCCTGAGGCAGCCCATGAAGTAACAAGATGGGTCACGAGCTACACACTTTCTGGCTGAGGGGACAGATGCTGTGTCAGGAAGGCTGTTGCTGCTGTTCTTTCTCAACCTGGGTCCATCAGTCCTACCTGAGGAAGGTGGCCCACAGGGCTGTGCAGACGAGCACTGGAGGGCTGCGTGACAGCCCCTCATCTTGCTTCACGGGCTTGCTTAGTGTGCATTTTAAGGTAGAAGTGAGTTCAGCCACTGCATGCCTGGATAAAGAGAATTTCTGCCTGCCTTGGCCGTTACGGTGTGAAGGCCACAGGACCATATCACATATCACATCCCGTACCAAAACCTTCCAAAATCAGCTGTTCCGTGTCCCACTCCACCTGAATCTTCCATGTCTTCACCTGAAGTACCTTCGCTCAACTGCAGGGCGCAGCACCCGTGCCCTCGAGGAGTAATCAGTGTCTTTGAACTGAAAGTGAGCCGCATCCAGCACTTGGCAGGGAGTGCTGAGGAGCCCTGCCGTGCCCCCGTTCCGCGGGCAGCTGGCTCTGCAGGGGGAGGAGGGGGGGAAATGCCTCGAGCAGAGGTGTGCGATGATGCTCCCTCCTTGCCAACTCAGCTTTACCTCAGGGATGTAGGAAAGCTGTCCCAGCGGTGGGGGAAACACTGAAGCATGAAGCCAGAAGAGTCTTCGTGGCTGTATGCACGTACCAGCTAAGGATCATAGGCAGGCAGCTGTGGAGAGAGCCCTCACCACCGCAGTTTTAGCCCCTTTAATTTCTTTTTTGCTGTTTTAAAAATTGTGTACAGAAAATGGGATTCTTCCCTTCCCCCCATCCCCTGCCCCAGATTAAGTTCACCAACGTCCTCTTTGTAAATTTAGCAAGCCTCAGACTCACTTCCTTTTGTCAGGAGACCTGAAAGAGCCATTTCCTGATTCGTACAGGGCTCTTGTATGCGCACACTAAGCGCTCATTCATGCCGTGAATCATAAAGGTAACCTCCGTTCAAAGCGCTGCGCTGATACTTCGGCGTCGGACAAAAAAAAAGAGTTTTGTAATTTAACAGTTTTGTAATTCAGCGCCGCGCTCTGCAAGTCGTCTTTGCATTTTCTGAGGAGCCGCACCAGTGGGGTTTTGATCGTCTGTCTTAACAGCATCGTTTACAAACTGCCTAAACTGAAACGGGCTGGTGAAAGCACCAGAGCCAGCCCAAAGGAATATGTTTACTATCGTGTGCCAGGCTTGACACATTTTCCATATCCTGCCAGAGATGAGGAATGGCATCGGGATCTGGGAGTGAGTCAGCCTGGGCCCCCGGCGCGGTGCCGCGCGGAGCGGAGGAGAAGCCTCGCCGGGGCAGGCTCGGGGCTCAGCACTGCCCGTCGTGCGCTCAACTGAGTGGAGATGCTGGAGAAAACTCAGCTTCTAATAGGAGCAAAGGGCTTACTGTCCTGTCTGTGGTTCAGTGGGAGAGCAGTGAGGCACGGCCTGCTGTGTTTATCCCTCCTGTACTCGAGTTCATCTGACAGTAAAAGGGATGAGCTGTTATTGGCTGAAGGAAGAAAGAAGGAAATGTGCACTGCATCAAATGT